GGCAACTTCTCTTCGTGCTGTCGAAAGCGGCTTTGAAATCGACAAATAGATGGTGTGTGTCGATCCTATTCTCGCGGGTTTTTTCCAAGATTTGGTGGATTGTGAATACCTGATCTATGGTGGATTTTCCAGGCCTAAAGCCACACTGATAAGGTCCAATCAGCTCGTTGACGGTGGGCTTCAGTCTTTCGCACAATACGCTCGATAAGACCTTGTAACCTATGCTTAGAAGGCTAATTCCGCGGTAGTTGGCGCGTATGGCGGGGTCGCCTTTCTTGTGGATTGGGCAGAGCACACTTAAATTCCAGTCGTCGGGCATGCGTTCATCTGACCATATTCTGCATACGAGCTGATGCATGCACCTCATCAGCTCCTCGCCGCCGTACTTGAATAGCTCGGCTGGCAGGCCGTCAGCTCCAGCAGCTTTGTTGTTTTTCAGCCGCGTAATCGCTATTCGTACCTCGTCATAGTCAGGCGGTGGGACAGCTACTCCATCATCATCGACTGGGGACTCGGGTTCGTCTTCCTCACTACTTTCAGCGCTGCTACCATTCAGTAGGTTATAAAAGTGTTCCCTCCACAATTTAAGTATATTCTGGACATCGGTCACTAGGTCGCCATTGTTGTTCTTACAGGAGTTCGCCCCGGTCTTGAAACCTTCCGTAAGTCGCCTAACCCTCTGGTAGAATTTTCGGGCGTTCTTCCTGTCGGCCAACATCTCAAGCTCTTCGCACTCACGTATTTCGGCCTCCTCAAGCTCTTCGCACTCACGTATTTCGGCCACTCTCTTCTTATTGCGGAAAATACGGCACATGGATCGCGTTGCGCCCGATCGCAGCGTGGCCCTGTAGGCGGTATCTTTTTCCTCTGCAGCTTCTTGACATTCATTATCGTACCAGCTGTTCTTTCGGGCTCGCTGAAATCCAACTACTTCTTCGGCGGCGGTACTTAATGATCGGGAAATGTGGTTCCACTGCTCGCGTACGTCGGATTGTTGAAGAGTGCTCTCAGAGAGCAGGTGTGTGAGTCGAGTGGCGAATAAATTGGCCGTCTGTTGTGATTGCAGCTTTTCGACGTTAAGCTTTCCTTGCATTGTTGGGCGCACATTTTTTGCTGCACAGAGGCGGGTGCGTATCTTGGCTACAACAAGATAGTGGTCCGAGTCGATGTTTGGCCCTCGGAGTGTACGTACGTCTAAAACGCTAGAAGCATGCCTTCCGTCTATCACAACATGATCGATTTTGTTTCTCTTTTCGATCTGGAGACAGCCATGTAGCTTGGTGGATGTTCTTATGCTGGAACCTAGTACTACATATTACCATGTTTCGGGCCCCGGCGAAGTCGATCAGCCTCAGTACGTTATCGGACGTTTCGTCGTGGAGGCTGAATTTTCCGACAGTGGTGCAAAAGACCCCTTCCTTGCCCACCTTGGCATTAAAATTGCCAAGTACGATTTTGACATCGTGTCGGGGGCAACGCTCATATGTAGGTTCCAAGCGCTCATAGAAGAGATCCTAGGACGCCTCATCCTTCTCTTCCGTCGGGGCGTGGGCGCAGATGAGCGAGATGTGAAAAAATCTAGCTTTGATGCGGATTGTGGCTTGACGTTCGTCCACCGGGGTGAACGCCAGAACTCGGCGATGAAGTCTCTCTCCTACCACGAATCCAACACCGACCACATATACATATTATATTATCATTTGCTTTTGAGTTTTAAGAATGTAGTGATAGTGAAATATCTGCGCAAATAGCAGCCCCCTACTACTCATCTTCAGCTTGATCCTTCAATATACATAGTTTGTGAGTGTCTGTGGTTTTTTCGTTGCCCTCGTCTTTGTTTCTGCCCTTGTATCTTGCTCTCTATATTTTCATTACCCACTCCATAGTGGCGTTAAAAGTTCAATGCAGCCGCCCCCTGTCTATTCACGCATGCGCAAACGCATACGCAAAAATTAAATTTTATTTTCTGAGCAAAAAATAAAACTCAGGAAATAACGAGTGTTTTCCGAATAAACTTAAAACGTAACGATTATTTTCCGAGCAAAAATTCAACTTACAACGTAACCATTATTTTTCGATCAAAAAAATAAAACTTAAAACGTAACTATTATTTTCCGCGCGAAAGATAAAACTTAAAACATAACCATTATTTTCCGGGCAAAAAAAATAAAACTTAAAACGTAACGATTATTTTCCAAGCAAAAAATAAAACTCAAAAAATAACCATCATTTTTCGAGCAAAAATTAAGCTTAAAACGTAACCATTACTTTCGTAGCAAAAAATAAAACAAAGAATAATCGCTATGTTTTGAGCAAACAATAAAA